AATGAAAATTGCCTGAGAAATCAAGCAGGTGGTAATGGCCTCTCTGGCAGATAAAAGTTATCGGAGGATAGACTTTTCCCTGAGGCTGCTACATTGTCTGCTTCAGCTCCATGGTGGATTAAAATCAGCCGCGCGATGGACACAGTCACACCCTAACAAAAAAGATGTCCATTGAATAAAGAAACGTGGAGGAGCCCTGGGCTGGAGGAGGCCAGGGCGGGGTCCCGCTCTCCTGGGCCCAGAGCCTTGGTGATGAAGGCCTCTCCTTGTGCCTTTTACTTCCCCGGGGAGGGAGTAGGAAGCCAGAGCATGATTTTTATAGGCCTCTCCTCTAACTCCTGTTTAGCACAAAACCAAGAAGGAGTGGGGCAGAGCGGACACGGTGGGGGTTGGGGAGGAGGTTAGAGGAAAAGTTCAACTGTCACATGATCAGCAGGATGGTTCCTTGAGGATTTGATGGACGTGGGAAGATTAGAAAAGATCTCAAGCTAAAAACAAATGTCACCGTATTTTCTCCATTCCACAACTGCTAGCCCCCCTTATACACACATGCATACCCCAGTCCCAGCTCGTCTGTCCCGAAGATAAACATGCTTTCTTTAAACCTTAGAACCTGCCTTCCATTAATTCTGGTTTTCACAGGGAAGCTTTCCCTGGTGACTGATTACAGAAAATTGCTTATTTAAAGAAACATGGGATTCCTTTTACAGACAAAGGCAGACATCATCTCAGAGACTTCTCCGCAGACAGGAGAGACTGGCGAGGACTCTGCTGCAATCAGGGATAAGGGGAAAGAGGGGAGAACCGGTTCGCACTAGCTCACTCTCCATCGCACAAACACACAGCCCACCCCAGTAACCGCACCACATGACACACATGCATTTGGGCTTCTAATTACTTCTCTGTCTATTTCATGCTAACGCAGCAATTAGTGATAAAGCTCAAAACACTCATACACGTTAGCCTGATGACACTTAATTATGACATTAGATATACTGCACCTCATGACATATGTAGCTTAGCAAGTAATAAGAAATCCACATATATGGCCCATCTAAACAACAATGTAATAAAAGTAAAGGAAAGCCATGAAACCCTCGCGTTGTCATTAAAAGAAAATGTAATGGGTGTATATTTATGTGAAATAAGCCATTTCCAGATGCTAACCAGGAATTCGGTCTCCTCAGCTCAGAAAGTGTAGTTTGGTCTTTATTTTTAAAGAAAAAGAATAGGAAAGGGAAGGGAAGAAATGAGAAAAGAAAAATAAAGAGAAGAGAGGAGAGAAGAGAAGAGAAGTAATCAGTAGGTCGTACCTGATGATAGCTTGGTGCCTCTGTGTGTCCATTCTCATTTTGAGTACCGTAGACATCAGCAGGAGATGTAGGGACAAATGTGACTTTTTTGCTGGGATGGTCCAGGAGATGTGCCATTTGCTGTTGGTTTACATGGGCCTGTTCATGAGACATGATTAATAGCTTAACAGCTCTGCCAAAAAGCACATAAATCTGGCCATCCACAGGGTAATTGACACACTGCTTATCTCGCAGATCCCTCCAGCACTCGCTTATCTCTGTCTAATCCCCAAGTGGGCATTCGAAGAAGCTGATTATGCAATGCACAGTTGCTGACACTACAGTTTGGGGGTCTGTTCCTTATAGCACCCAATTAGCTGCCACACAAAGCCCTACTCCCTTTGATCAACCTTGACCAAGTATAAAGTAGCAGCTGAATGAACACAGGCTACAGGGAATTCCTCGGGAGCATCCAGGCCTTCTCAGAGGGGGGTGTGAAGTGGGAACCTCAACCTCCCAATTCTGAGTCAAGTTTCCCTTTGCTTTAGCTGAACCAGACCACAGTGATCCACCATCTAGCCCCATATGGTAACCACTGTTCCCTCAAGCTTTCTTCTCCCTCTCCCTCCTGGTCCTCTTTTCCAGTTCATTACACATCTTGACTTTCCTCATTGAAAGCCAGCATATCTCCATGTTCCTGTGCAGTGTGGACTTGAAAACTTCAGCTTCCGTCTCTGTTCCTGATTTCTTCATTTCTATGAAAATTTTTAAACAAATGATACTGATTTAGCATAGTAACAACTGTGAAGATTAAAGATTACACACTGAACAAATTGTAAAGTCCTTTGAAAACACAAACTGCTATAGGAGTAATTATTATCATTGTTATTCATCACCTCAGCTCATCACATAGAGTAAACAGGAGATAATAAAGAGGCGACTCTTAAATGCAGTATCAGCAGCAAGACCCATTTATTACACTGCTATTTGCTTGGATCCCATTACAGTTATAAATTTTTACGCTCATCTAGCACTTTTCATCTGAGAATGTCAAAGTGCTGCACAAGCACAGGCTCTAATTACACTAATCCCCCAACCCGCACGGAGAGCGGCAGGCAAGGGCCACCTCCAGTCCTGCAAGTGGCCATCTAAGCAGATCCTGCCGGGGCCTGGGAAGGTCTCCCTGCTGAGGGCGCATCTAGAAACTTCTGAAATCAGGAAAAGTGCCCGGGTGAGTCATGTCTTTTTTTTTTTTAAACACAAAAAATGAATGTCAGATAGACAGACATACAGAGGTTTGAATCTTTTTCTTCTGTGTGGGGGTTATGTGTCCAATGTCTTGCAAGCAACCCACATGCCTGGATCCCACCATGGGGCCCACAATTTGTACATTCGCCGTCAAACACAACCTGAAGGAAAATCTTCGGTGTCGTATTGTTTGTAACGTTACCAGCCTGGAAGTTTTCATACCGTGATGATTATTAATGATAGTAAATGAGTGTATACATTGAGAAATATAATGAAAACAATGTATGTTTTCAACATCTTGTCACTTTGCCAGTGTAATACTCATCTGGAAAAAAGCCCCAGCTCTGGATAATTCTTATACAATATTTACAGTACTTCTGATACTGTCGTAGGTTTTGGTTTAAGTAAACTGATAGTTTCAGCTGGTAATAATTCTGCCCCACCACTAATCAGAGCAGAACAAATTGCTTACACTCTTGGGATTTTGCCTTCTCCCACTTTAAAAAGCAGGTTGCCGACTCCAGAGTGAGGTACCTGCAGCCCAGAATGTGTGCGAGATGAGGTGATCCACAGAGGCCCAGGAAAGCAACAGTAAGACTTCCATTGTATTTATTCTACTTTAATTTGTAAAAATAATGAAATTAATCTGACTGGTAGCTTATTCAATTTGAGAGTAGAACGCATAGATATACAGATATTGAGAGTGCATGCCCAAATTGTTTACTGATGTTGGGCAAACAAAAATATTTGAAGCATTAAAAAAAGAGAGAGAGAGAGAAATACTTACATAGTAAAAGAGAGGTATATTTAGGTCAGACTTCATTCATATGAGAAATGTTTTCAGGGAGAGAAGGGCAATGTACGTTTACTTGCTAAAAGTCCTTGAAATAAAAAAGGTCTTGTCAAGCTGACCCACTATGTCAGTCCTCATCCTCACAACAATTAGAAATGATGTTGAGCCCCCACATAGTTCTGACCACATTTCATTGTGACCAAAGTGGGCTATGAAGCATTTTCAAAAACCAAAGAACCTTAGCCCCAAGTAACACTGATTTATGTAAGAAAAATAATAAAATGGTAAGTTCCTGTGGTTGAATTGCTATCTAACAGGTATCTTACTCTAATTCTAGACTCCAAATACCCAGCTTTGTGTCCCAGCGGCACACCCATGAAAGAGTCCCCAGCCTCCACTGTGAATCCTTATCCACAAATGGAGTATGCCTATGCCCTCCCTACCTCACAGCCATCAAATACCCAGCTTTGTGTCCCAGCGGCACACCCATGAGAGAGTCCCCAGCCTCCACTGTGAATCCTTATCCACGAGTATGCCTCTGCCCTCCCTACCTCACAGCCAGAGACAGCCCTGCCTCAGCCATGTCAGAGCCAAGGCCAGGATTTCAAGATAAAACCCTTCTCACCTGCTTTCCACCCCAATCCATGGACTTGCAGTTACTTATCTTGAGATCCAAGGTTTCTAAAGAATTTCCACAGAAACCAAAGTTGGGGGCAGGCAAAGGCAAACATAAGGAAGGGGCCTAAGAGAAGCACCGCGGGGAGAACGGCAGGAGCCAGGGAGCAAGGAAGACAAGTGGCTGACAACTGGATCAGCAGCGGCCTGAGGAGCCAACTAAGGCAGTGTTTCCAAGCCCTTATTGGAAGCCACCCAGTGCCAACCTTTGGCAATTTATACACATGCTTGTATAGCACTGCCCAATAGGAATACAAAACATGCCATATAGGAAATTTAAATTTGTCTACATTACTCACAATAGCCAAAAGGTGGAAACAACCCAATGGCCATGGAAAAACAAAATGTGGTGTACACACACACACACACACACACACGCACACACACAAATATCATTCAGCCTTAAAAAGGAAGGAAATTCTGACACATGCTACAACGTAGAGGAACCTTGAAGACAGTATGCTAAGCAATAAGTCAGACCCAAAAAGACAAATGTATTGTATGATTCCACTTATATGAGATGCCTAGAATAGTCAAATTCATGAAGATGGAAAGTAGAATAGTGGTTACCAGGGACTAGGAGAAGGAAATGGGGTGTTCGTGTTTAATTGGTACAAAGTTTCAGTTTGGAAAATGAAAAACTTGTGGAGATAAAGATGATGGGTGCACAACAATGTGAATGGACTTAATGCCATTGAACTGTACACCCAAAAATGGTTAACATTGTAAATTTTATCTTATGTATATTTTACCACCACAATATTTTTTTCTAGTAGCCACATTAAAAAATTTTTTAAGAAATAGGGGAAATTAATTTTTAAAATATATTTTCTTTGCCCCAACATATTTAAAACAAACCTATCATTTCAACATGAAGTCAACATGACTATTGATAAGATATTTTACATTATTTCTCTCATACTTTGTCTTGACATTCCAACATTTATTTTACACTTACGGCGCATCTCAGGGCAGCTAGCATCATTTTAAGTGCTCAGTAGCCTCCTGTGGCTGGTGGCTACCATGCTGGACAATGCTGACCTAGAGGGGCAAAAGCTAAGACCGCTCACCATCTGAACCCTGGCCACTCTGCTGTGGGGCTCTTTAAAGAAAACAAAGGGAAAGGAAAGGTCATTTCTCGACTGGTGAGACAGAAAGGATCGCTGGGAACCTGGAACTGTAGGAGACAGTGTTCAACAACAGGTAAGGAAAGAAGCACAGAGAGAGAGAGTGAACTGCTCAAGTTCACAGAGCTAGTAAGTAACAGAGCTGGGACTAAAACAGGGCTGTGCCTTTAACCACTAAACCATCACGCCTTCCCACGAGTGCACCATATTCTCTGGACAAATCCAGAGGCTGAGGAGTGTGGGGAATTGCAATGGCCCAAGGGATCTTCAAGTTGCTACCTCCTGGTGTCCTACAGATGAAGTGGTAACCTTGGCTGTGAGGCAAGTAAGCTGAACTGGCAGGATTTCCTCTATATTCACCAGCCACTGCGACCTACAGACACACTCAGGTTAGTTATGTCAGTGAATAGCAGTTATGACTCAGGTTAGATACTAGTGTCAGATATTTGGAAGCCTTCTCTTGAGATTAGAAGTATTTTTCCTAAAGAAACTGGACAGCTGGACAATCAAATCCATGACCTGTCTGGAAAACCCAGAAGTTGGCCTATAGAGTAAACTCACTGGCATTTCTTTCTCCCTCCCTCAGTGCTCTGCTCTGAAGTGCTATAAATCAAACACAATGAGACTCGTGTGAAACAATGTTTATTTCAGGACATGGTGACTCCTCAGCCAGAGAACTTAAGACACCAAGTTTCCATGTTCTGGGTGATGGAAATCAGGTCAGGCAGAGCTAATAAACAGCAGAAGAATAAACAGCTTAATTTATCCTTCAAAGAGAGAGAAACCAGTCTAGCTCCGGTAGAGTATCTATATCACATGGGCGAAATTTCGCTTCTGATTAACATGTTAGTGCCCCACAAACCCTCAACCTCCCACAGAGCCAGGATAGCAGAGGTGACGTATCCCCTATTCTATCCCAATTGCCAACTACTCTTATCATGGCAGAGCTCATGCTGAGCCACCGCTGAGCTTGACAATAAAAATAACAACAAAAAGCCCTGCCTGGAAAATTATTGTTCTTATACACAGTCCAGATCAGTTTGGTAGACAGTTTCCAAAACATCCACCAACCCACAAACATGTTCTCCAGTCTTATCCCATTAGATGCAAGCATTCCCTAAGGGCACACAGTCCTCCAGGCCACTGTGGTCTTACACAAGCAACATAATTAGTAGCATGCTTGCTTCTATTAGTCAGCAAGGAGTAGAATGGCAGAAAGAAAGAAAAGTAAATGGATTTCCAAGTAGAGAAATTAAAGTTGATATACTTTAAAATTCATTTTTATTTTTTTTATTTTTTTTATTCATTGATTTGAGAGAGGGAGAGAGAGAGAGAGATTCGTTGTTCCACTTATTTATGCATTCATTGTTTGATTCTTTTACGTGCCCTGACTGGGGATCGAACCTGCAAGCTTGGCATATCGGGACGACGCTCTAACCAACTGAGCTACCAGGCCAGGGCAATATTTATTTTTATTATACAAATATACTACACATGGTTTGGGGAATTTAGAAAACAAGGTAAGAGGGGGGGAAGAATTTGTCACCAGGTCTGGAAACTAATTTATATTTCTGCATAATTTATATCAAAAGATAACTTGGCAAGATTCCTAACAATTACCTCAGTGTTCACTAATACAACGGAGTCAAGTTCATCATTAACAGTGTCTCCCTCACACCTGTCAAAATGGCTATTATCAATAAATCAAGAAACAACAAATGCTGGAGAGGATGTGGAGAAAACATAACCCTTGTGCAGTGTTGGTGGGAATACAGATTAGTGCAATCACTTTGGAAAGCATTATGGCGTTACCTCAAAGTACTACATAATATTTGGTGAGCAATTTCCTGGACTACCCAGTGATTCCACTTCTGGGGATTTATCTGAAGAAACCCCAAACACTGATTCAAAAGAGCATAGGCACCCCAATGTTCATTGCAGCATTATTTACAATAGCCAAGATTTGGAAGCAGCCGAAGTGTCCATCAGCAGATAAGTGGATAAAACAGCTGTGGTACATTTACACAATGGAATACTACTCGGCCATAAAAAGGCAGAAAATTGTATCCTTTGTGACAGCATGGATGGACCTAGAGAACATTATGCTAAATGAAATAAGTCAGTCAGAGAAAGACAAGTACCATATGATTTCATTCATATATGGAATTTAATGAACTAACAAGCAAAATAGAGACAGACTCATAGATAGCAGGCAGACAGTTCTGGCAGGGGCCAGGGAGGCAGGGTAGAGAATTAGGGCAGGGGAAGATTGAGCAAAAAAGTGTCTCACCAGGAACTAAACCAAGAACAAGAATATTTAGTGTGATGGACCCACTGGAGTTTGCTTGGAGGTTAGCTTCAGACGCACAAAATAGGAGATTTGCTTAGAAAACTCACTCTAATAGTCCTAATCCCAGACTCTCAGAGCAAAGAGTATAGGAAAAGCAAAGAGAGGCCATTGAAAGCAAGAATTTTGAAGTGTTAATGTCCAGGTAAGGCCCCCAAACTTCCGGGTTCCTTGCTCCTCTTCAGTGGCTCCTTCCTACCCTGTAGGCCACTGTTCCCAGGAGGTAATCACAAGGTTGCAAATTCATGCTTATACCCAGTAGTTTCCAGCAACAAGATAATTAAAAGTATAACAATTATCACACAAGGCTCATTAAATTCTTTCATATTAACAAGGGGTCCTCACCCTCATAAAATTTGAGGGCCATTACTCTAGTCTGTCTTTGACTCCTAAGACTTAAGTGCTTAAGTTATCGCCCATCTAGGGCCTACCCACCCTCATACAGAGGATGTGCCAAGAGCCTTCTCTACCTTTGTGGCCCCAGATACCTCATCTGAGTGCAGGGCCTCAGTTTCTCCTTAACACTGTCATTAGTCATAATGATGGCAATAAGTGATACAAATGGAATGCCTAACCCTCAAAGGTAATTTTGAGAGTAGTAAGATAATATGCGTCCATTCCCTAAGGGCATCCATTTCATAAAAGGATGTTAATGTTAATGATGTCAAATTTTCTCAAGAACTCCAAGTGTAACCCCTAACTTGCCACTTGCTAAATCTGCATCCAAACTGATTCGCTCATCACAGAAAATCTATTGTAAGTCTGCCAAAAGATAATTGTTCACACAGAATTAGGTACTCAAGGTCATGTTTTCTATTTCCATTGTCTGCCATTAGAATCTTAACTATTTATCCAATTTCAGATTCTCAAGTTGCAAAAGGAATTAGAAGTTCACTCCAGTGAGAATGTTTGCAATTATTTTTAGGAATGCTATAAATTAAAAACTTTGTTCATGTTGTAAAGTAATATCACATAATATTTATCTTTAGAGCTAGTGTAGAATAAATATTTGAGGGGGGTGGAGGGACTGAGCAAACAAGAAAAAAGAGAAATAAATATTTGAAAAACATCTAAAATATTTAAAAATATATAATGTAAAATAAATCTCTATTAGATTATTGTTTAACCTATAAAACTAATACATCAACTTAATCCAGGAAATTGCTGACCAAGTATTATGTAGCACTTTGTCCCTAATGAGACTCTAACCAGCAGAAAGTTGTGGGAAAGAATAGGATTTGGTGTCAGAGACTTGGGTTCAAATCTCAGCTATGTCACTTATAGGTTTCCATATAGGGCTAAGTCACCTTTTTCAGTTCTAAATAGTAATATTCATAAGGCTGGAAAAAAGGATTGTGTGTAATAATCTACGTGAAAGCACAAGTGCTGCAAAAATATTAGCTGTTCATCAGTGCACAGCCCATTATTCTTCTAGTCCAGCTAGCTAATCAATAACCACAACCAATCTCAGCCAGAGTGATGTGTGGGCATGGGGTATAATCACCCCCAGCAGCCCCCACTGAGAGAAACAAAAGAGGTCAGAGGTTCCATTAATGCTAGCTTAGCAGTTGACACTTGCTAAAATATTTTTTCATGGAAACCTAACATCAGAATCACATAGTAGACTCGGGAAAAGCTCTCTGTTTAGAAATGCTTGGGAAGATTGCTATTTCATGCCTTGAAGATAAAGGAATTAAATAGCACATTTGTTACAACAAAGTTTCTTCTGCACCTCCCCGTTAGCATTTGTCATATTACATACATCACATTTGCACTTGATAAAATCATGAGAGTTGCTGTGCGTGCCCATTTGCCTGCCTGATTGGAGCTGAGTTCATTCCTGGGTGCTTTCCAGAAATGTAAGCAGGAAAAATTGTTTCTAGGTAACATTTTTGTTTTAAATCAACACTTAACTCTGGATTTTAGAAAAGATAGAGCCCCCAAGGTCAAACAGCTTCCCTCCACATGTTACACCACTTGAGTTACAAGCAAATTTAGCTGCAGGTGGATACTATAAAGTTGTTTGAGCTTTCATTTAAAAGGAGACTCTCATTAAATGTTTTTTCATGCTGTTTTCTTTTTTTTAATTTAATTGATTTTTAGAAGGAGGAAGGGAGAGTGAGAGAGACATTGATGTAAGAGAGAAACATCAATTGGTTGCCTCCTGCATGTACCCAGCCCAGGGATTAAACCCTGCAACCTGGGTGTGTGCCCTGACTGGGAATCGAACCAGCGATCTTTTGGTGCTAGGGACGACACTCAACCTGAGCTACACGGGCCAGGGCACAATTTATTCTTAAGATAAATTCTAGAGGCAAAATTACTGGGTGTATGGGTATACCAAAGTTACAAGCTTTGACATGTACCTGCACATTTTTGTTTCCCAGAGTGAGATTCAGCCATCTTTAAATAAGCCCAGAGATAAGTATATGATTGTCTAACCACTATGTTGTATACCTGACACTAATACAAAATAATATTGAGTGTAAAATGTAATTTAAAAAAAAATTCTTTCTGCACTTCAAAGAAAGAACATAAAAAAGAAAAAAGGAGGGGGGGAGGGGAATAGGGCCCGAGCTTTCAAAAGTACAGTGAGACTGTTATTCACAGAAAATAACCTCTACCTAGACCTGCTCTCATCAATGGACAGAGGGAGGGGGAAAATGTGTCATTCAACCAAACAATTATTTAATAATTTCTCAAGAACCTACCATGTCTGGCACATAGCAAGTCCCCGCTCTCATTAGGTCACGTGCCCTGTTGTTGCGGAGGAGTCTCTGCAGGAAGAAATATAGGTCAGTTTCCTTTGGCCAAGTGTCCCTCAGAACTATCCCCATAGACACAAAATCGAAATAAACATCTAAATCTAGTCCAAATAAATTTCCCACCAATATCTTAGAACAAGTTTTTATTTTATTTTTTTAATTTACCTTTATTGTTAAAAGTATTACAGTTGTCCCCTTTGTTTTTTTATTCCCATTGTAGAACCAGTTTTGTTTTGTTTTGTTTTAAATATGTTTTCATTTATTTTTAGAGAGAGGAAGGGAGAGGGATAGAGGGAAACATTGATGAGAGAGAAACACCATGGATCAGCTGCCTCCTGCAGCCCCCACACGGGGGATTGAGCCCTCAACTTGGGCATGTGCCCTGACTGGGTATCAAACCGGTGACCTCTTGGTTCCTGGGTCAATGCTCAACCACTGAGCCACACCGGCCAGGCAGAACCACCCATAGTTTTTAATACCACCATAGTAAACCATTCTCTACAAGTTTATATATAGGGATAATGAAACACTATCATATGTTCTTTAACCAAAAGTTAAATCATCTTTACCTTTCTTTTTTTTTAATATATTTTATTGATTTTTTTACAAAGAGGAAGGGAGAGGAATAGAGAGTTAGAAACATTGATGAGAGAGAAACATCGATCAGCTGCCTCCTGCACACCCCCTACTGGGTATGTGCCCACAACCAAGGTACATGCCCTTGACCGGAATCAAACCTGGGCCCTTTGAGTCCTCAGGCCGACGCTCTATCCACTGAGCCAAACGGGTTAGGGCAATCTTCACCTTTCTTGATAAAATTCAACTTTGAAAAATAAAGCATACTACTACAAATAACAGGAAATATTTTGGCCAATGTTTCGGAATCATTTCTAATTTAAGAGCCCATATGTTCACTGGCTTTACATGTAGCCACATCTCTATCACCCTAAAATTGCTATCCTAACATCCTTTTCCTCCTTTTGCTATTTCCAAGGAGTCAGATGGAAAAGATCAGTAACAAAAAAAATCAGGAAAACAGTTCAAGACTTAGAAAACTTTGACATCTTTTCCGTGACCATCAAAACGTGATTTTTAAAAGTAAGTACCACCCTGGCAATGCCTTGATAGTTTGGCAGACATTGTTCTTTCTGCAAGAGCATAAATTTAACACAGAAAACATTGTCATGGGCTGTCAGAACAAGTTACTATTAAATGACCACTGAATGGGACACATATTCAGAAAGTTAATCATTGCTCTGCAGTAACCCCACTGGTGCCTCTGAGGAGTTTGCACTGGGCAGACCACTTGAAATCACTCACTTAGTTCACGGGGGTCATTGCAGAACTCTGTGCTTAGGAAGAGAACTGGACTATGGTTCTCATGTAGCTTAAGATTCACTTAGGACCAGGGGACCACACATCCATGACTGGGCACCTTGTTCTCAATTCAGCCAGGTGCTGAAAAACCTTGAGGAACTAAACTGTGAACCGCTGGATGATAAGGAGTACACCTTATTCATCTTTGCAATTACCGTCCCTAACACAGGGTCTAACATTGTGGGTAAATGAACTAAAACACTATCAAAAGTTGCACCCAGAGGGTAAGTTTTCCAACGTTGAAAGATGCAAAAGGCAGCAACAGTAATAACAATTGTTTGCCAAAACCTGAGTTGACTCTAGTAATCACTAGGCATCGGAGGGAAGGAGAGTGAAGCGTTAATTCCCCTTCTTTGCAGGCAGCCTTCTCCTCCATTTTGCTGCCTTTGTTCCTAAGAGCACAGAGCCCTAATTTGCCTGCCAATTTTGCCTCTCTCAGCTCAGGCACATTTCACTCTGCCTTTGGCTCTACAAAATATGCTTTAAATCCCATTTTCTGAGGACTCAATTTTCAGGAGAGAAACAAATCCAGCAAACCTGTTTTAATCCCAATTAACTTCTCTGAACCTTAATTTCCTCATCTGTAAAATGGAGATATTTCCCATTTCAAGTTATGTAAACTACTTGACACGAGGCCTGGTGCAGTGCTTAATAAATAGTAGGTAGTGCTATTATTCTTAAGGACCCAGTCATGTAGATTCCTGGAGGGGAAAAAAAAAGGAAGCTTTTTATTTTTTTAATATTTTTACTGATATTTGGAGAGGGAGGAAGGGAGTGGGAGAGAGAGAGAGAAAAAAAAAACACACCTATGTAACAGAGAAACATTGATCAGTTGCCTCCCACATGTGCCCTGACCAGGAATCCAGCCCACAACCTGGGCCTATGCCTTCACTGGGAATTGAACCAGCAACCTTTTGGTGCATAGACGACGCTTAACCAACTGAGCCATACTGGCCAGAGAGAGGAAGCCTTTTAAAAATAGCTACATCAAAAAGACAATTTAAAAAAATAGAAATAAAAAAAATAGCTACGTCAGCCCTAGCTCAGTGGATAGAGCGTCAGCCTGCCTGCGGACCGAAGGGTCCTGGGTGTGAATCCGGTCAAGGGCACCAAAGGGGGGAAAAAAATAGCTACATCAGTTCCTAATTTTTTCTCTAGACAAATTAAACTAATCATGATTAGATGGTGACGGGTGTAGTGATCTGTGAGAAGGAAATCAATTTAGCTAGAAGGGCTAATTATTTAAAAAATAAAAAAATTGTCCTGGAAAAATATAAGAAAATAAGTAAAAAAAAAAAAAAGTAAAAAAAAAAATAAGTAAGAAAATAAGAATACCTCTCTCTTTTCCTCTCTCTCTCTCTCTCTCTCTCACTCACTCACTGCTTTCAAGCATCCTTAAAGTTGGTAAAATTGTGACCCTAATACATTAAGAAAAATGCCCTGAACCAGCCCAGAGTGAAAATAAACATGACTGAGCAATAAATTAGGATCTCCTTCATTCTCCTTCTACCTCCCACAGTCCACATGGAAGCTTTGGTGTAATCAAGACCCATTCCAGCCCCCTCTGCACATGGCCTCCCCCAGGTGACTCCAGGCTCAGGCATCCAGGGGCAATGGATAAACATTACCTGATACAGATGGAATGAGCAGATGTCTGGAGTCCTGAGCCCAGACTGTGAAGGACAGACAGTGAGTAGGAGGCTTAGAACAGAACATGCACCCCGTTTTCCTGCCCAGTCCCCTGATCCCTGAGTGCCAATAAGGGGAAGAAATGCTCATTCCAACAATTGGTGACTCCTCGTGACTCCTATCTTTATACCATGACTCCCAGACATGCTCCTAGGAAGGCATTAGAGTCAAAGCAGTTCCAAGTTCACCAAATGTCATCTGTCCATGTGACAGATAAGAAAACTTGATGCCTAGAGGCTTTGAAGGACTTGACCAACTTCATATACCAGCTTACTGTAAAACCAAAAACAGATTCCAAGTCTCCTGCCTTCTAGAGCAGTCCTCCATTTTTATATTCTACTGCTCCCATAGTAGGACCAAAGATCATTCATCCAACTTTCTCACTGCATACTCACTAAGTGCCAGGCACTATGGTGAGCATTTGAAACTGTAAGATTCTTCCATGGCAATAATAAAAGATCCCTTTGCAGATGACAAAAAAAAGAAAGAGAGAAAAAGAAAAGAAAAGAACAATTGCCCTGAAAGCTTCTTGCCCTTTAATATCAAACAATTGATAAACACCTACTATGTGCCCAAGTTCAGCACTAGGTGCCAGGAAAGGAAGAAATAGATAAGACACTCTCCCTCCCCTCCTTGCAATACTCCTAGCTGAAGTTAGATTCCACCAATGCGGATAAACAGAGAGAGATTCAGACCATGAATTAACATGGAATAAACACAGATAACAAATAGACAAGATTAAATATTTAGATTATACATTGGCCAGGGGTTAAGTGGATTAATGGAGTGATGAGTCGGGCAGAGTTATGGGATTTCCATGTTTAGACAGGGTGGATTAGGTTGTCTAGCACACGGAAATGCAAATCGAAACTGCTATCTTCAGCACTAACACCCTCTATTCATCTCTAGAAGAGCCTTCTGTCAAAGGGCGGAAAGTGCAGGACAGACCATGTCTCCCCATCTTTACAACATCCTGGTGAGTCAGAGCCAGAACTCTAATTCCCAGGCTCATGCTGAGGAAACAGACCCAGGGGAGGAAGTGGGAAAGTCGAGTCACTAAAACCTAGTCCTGGCCCCTCTTCACCTCCAGTCTAAATGCCTCCGGAGCACTTGGGCAATCCATACAGGCTCCAACATGATGGCCCACTGTAACACAGCCCCTTTGATCTTTTACTTCAAAGGAGGAGAAATTGTGAGCTACCTTGTAATTATCTCCCAAGTACTTCAAATGCATGTTTTGGATTCTCTATAGAGCATAAGTTTCTTAAGGGCAGGGATGTACCTTGAATGCCCCATCACTTGCAGTAGAGCTGGGAAGCGCTCCAGAGACTGCGGATCTTACACATTCTTGAGGAATGAGTGAATGGTCTAGAGAAGACATCACAGGAAAAAAAAAAAAAAAAAATGGCCGTGATGCCCGACCAGGTGCATTTCTCACTGCCCATTCATTTCTGGCCCTGCACACCTCCTGCCCCTATGAAGCTTGCTCCTGAAACAAATCTCTACCAGGACAGTGATTCATTTGGATGCCCTTGAAATCATGTGCATGAATCCACTACCAACAGAAACAAAACAAAAAAGTTGTTTGTAAAGAACTGTGAGAAGTGCCCGAAGACCTTGGTACATTATTTTTCTGGACAGAGGAATTCCATACTAATATCCTCATCCACAGATACTGCTTGTCAAAGAATAATTAAGGGCACAGGTGCCTGGTTCCAGCACCAAACTTCTGTTTGCTCCTTCTTGTAATTTTTCTCCCACACCTGACACCCACTTACTACCCAGATAAATTGGAAAGTAGAGTTTAGAGTCTCTTTCTAAAATCATTATAATATTGCTTCTGTATAGACCACATCTTGTCTGACTTCCAGGCCCCTATTACTGTGAGTACTAATTTGCAAAATAGTCTTAAGAGAGGTAAAATGCGGACATAGTGGAGTGGAGTGGCCTGGGTTTGACTCTGGGTCCTGCGGCTGCATTAGCAATATGATTCCCTTCTAATGAAAACTTTTGATTTACAGATGATGAGCTGAGGCCCTGGGACATTTAACAACCTACTTTTTAAACTGTCCTAGTCAATCTCAAAAGTCTATTCCAGCTCCATGCTTTTGACTGCAGTTACCTGCCTGTTATCTCCCTCCACCCCCAAACTCTTACCTTGTGAGACAAGATGGAGAACCTTACCTTTCCTTACTGGGAACTGGCCCAATCTTACCATACATGACATTCAGACAAATGGCTGCCAATGGTTGTTGGTATGAGCAAATAGGCTGTGACCTTTATATGCCCTCCTGTTGGGTATGCTCTGCCCACCACTTTGTTGCCCTGTCTGAGTGCCCTTCATCACCACCCTACACAGAATCGAACTTGATTCCTGACCCTGGACCATCTGTCCCATCCATTACTCACTCAGTTCCTGCCAAGGCAGCTACCATTCCCCCAGAGAAGTGGTGCATCCTCTGCATTCATCTCTCCTCTAACCCTCACAGCCCCTACAATTGATCTTTCCTGAGCACTAGGGTGCCTCTGGTTCATCGCCATCTAGGTCTTCAGAGAAAGTGTGTCCATTACTGCTTCCCTCATGTGTTGTTGGTTCAATAAATGAGAACGTGACACAGAGCCCTGAAATTTCAAGAGAGTTTCAATCCTTGAAAAGCTGACATCTATTGCTGTCTTGGTGAGTCTACAAAAGAGACTGTTAGTTCAAGATGGCTTTGGCCTTCTTTGGCGGTTTGATGGCAATTTTTAAAGGGTAGGAGCTGGAAAGTCCCTCAACAGTTAAAATATTCCTTGAAAATACAAACTGGCAGACTGCATTCATTATTGTGGATTCTTTTTTTTTTTTTTTAAGCAGAAAAAACATTTTTCAATACTTGGGTTATGTGCTTTAAACATTGTCCTGACATCTGTTCTTTAAAAGCACAATAGAAGGCATGCTTTCAACTACAAACACAGATAAAATATGGAAACACAGTTCTGTATTTCTGGGCTAGGGACATGCTAAGTAATAGGGATTTGCATGACTAAGCTTC